CTATCTATTTTTGCCAGGAGTCCTTTAAAATAACAGTGAAACAGAGGTCTCTCAATATAATCACCACCCAAGTCGTTTCTTTCTTACCCTTCACCTGACATTATTTCCAATATTACTTACTCTTAAGCTGTACCTTTGTGCTCGATTTTTAATATGGGGGCTCAAGCACTCTATCGTCTCCTCTTTTCCACCCAAACCCCAAGGAAGGCTTAAGCAAGATGCAAGGTTCACAGGACCCTATCTCTGAGGCTGGTGGTATTTATCCGTCCACGCAGGACGCTGTCCACCCCACGGAGCAGCGGGGAGAGGAAAGGAAGGTGCTGCGAGCAGTTAAGGACGTGAGCTCAGGGCCAACAGCTGCATTGCGGCCTGGCTCTGGCCTTCGCTCACCAAGTGATGCGGGCAAATGGGTCAGTCTGTCCAAGCTCAGCTGCCTCGTTTGCAAAGCGGAGCTAATGGGCCTTGCCTCGTGGCTTCTGATGAGGGCTTTATTAGCTAACACGTGAAAAGCACTTAGCACAGTGCTTGGCACATGGTGAGTACGCAGAACATGGTGGCTGCCTATTTTCATTACTGTGATAGAATAACAACTTAAAATAATAATGATGTAAAATTCCACTTCTGGGCTACAGAATTGATTTTGATTCTTTACAATTGTTTGTGACTCTTGGTATCCCATAAGAACATGTTGAATGCAGAGCTGGGGTGCTTCGTTTGCAAATAAGACATACAAGGCCTGGCCTTACCTACCTCCCAGGTGTGAGAGTGGTCTCTTGGATGTCCCCCCAAAGGGCACACAAAGATGAGATGGTTGGGTACCAAATGCTCTTTTTTTGTTTTGTTTTGTTAATGCTGCCACTGCAGAGAGGGAAGGGCCAGCAGCCAAAGCTGATTTGTGTTCGGGACGAGGAAGCGAAAATGTTTGGTAACACTTTTCAATATCTGTGGGTTGTGTTCAGAGAAGAGAGAGAGATTTCGGAGGCTCCGTTTCATGTTTCCACTCCAGCTCCTCAGAGAGCCAGCTCAGTTAGAACTAAGCCAGTTATTCATAAGCTCTCTGCACAGGACAGTTAACTAAACGAATGGAGAAGAGCGGACATGGGCCCACTTTATGAAAATGGGTTTCACCAGCCTAGGATTCACCAAATTTGAACCTGAACTAAAACGCCAATCCCCAGGGGTGAAGCCTTCACACATGCACGTTTGTCCCTCCCCCTGTACGGCAGGGCCCATTCCCCAGCCTCCGGGCTCCTCCGCGCAGCCAGGCCCCTCGGCATCCCTCATCCCAGCCCAGCTCTGTGCCAGCAGGAAGCCACTGAAAGTGGACCAGGCGGAGGGGAGATCTCCAACATACGCAGAAGGATGCCATTGGTTTGGGCCCTAGTGGAGTTTGGGGTCCCAGGAGGGAAAATGATCACCTCCTCAAACCCCCTAAGCACAACCTTGTGATTACTGCCCATTTAAACTGGCTAGAGTCAGCATTTTGTGTTTTTTCTATAAAAATATAATTATTTTTAATATCTCGGCCAAAATAGCATAAGTCCTACCCGGTTTATCTGGGAAGGGCAGAACCGAAGGGTCGGGAGGGTTAGGACTAGCTGCCCCGATGAGAGAACAGACGTGTGGCAGGACACCAGCCGTGCACCCTGACTCTTGTCACTGTCTCTTAGAAGTCAGTTCCCAGGCAGCTCCTGGATCCACAGGCTCATGACTCCCCATCCCTGACACACAAATAAAGCGGCGACATGATTATGCCCAGAACCAGAGCAGGGGAGGGGCCTGGCCTTGGTAACTAAGGGCCAAGGGAGCCTAAACATGTGGGCTGTCTGTCAACAGGACAGAGTGAGGCAGCTGGCACCCACCTCCTCAGGTGAGCTGGAGGAGGGCAGCCCATCCAGACCAGTCTCTGTCCCCCTGTGATGGAGACGGTGCCACATTCGGCCTCTGTGCTTGGAGGGGACTCGACAGGCACTGCCAAAGGCGGCTCTGAGTCCAGCAGAGATGCTGTGCCCTCCGCTCCTCACTCAAGGAAGTGGGCGCGTGAAGACCCAGTCCCCAAAGCTGTTTCCCTCATCTCTGCCATCACCCCTCACCCCACCCTATCATATCCTGGCTTTTTAAAAATATATTTTCTTGCCCGGCTGGGTGTGGCTCAGTGGTTGATCATTGACCTATGAACCAGGTTCAAATCCCCGTCTGGGCATAGGCCCAAGTTGTGGGCTCATTCCCCAGTAGGTGGCGTGCAGGAGGCAGCCGATCAATAATTCTCTCTCACCATTGATGTTTCTATCTCCCTCTCACTCTCCCTTCCTCTCTGAAATTAATAAAAATATACTTTAAAAAAATAAAAATAAAAGAAACTTTCCCAGGCTGTGGGGGAAATTAGAAGGGACATGTTACTTTCCTGTCTTTTTCTAAGGAAAAGGTTACATTTTAAACTTAAAACACATGCTCTGTATGTAATGAAACCATTTGGTTTTTTGTCTAAATGTAATAGTTTAAAAATAAAGGTTAAATATTTCTTTAAAGCATAATTCAACTTGGGTTCATGAGGGCGGGCGTTGGGAGCTGTGTTTGGAAGAGCCCCCTGACCCATCCTGCTTCAGTTGTATGTGCTTTGGAGCTAATGGATTTGGGGTCATCCAAAGAGGGTTTGTGGTCCATGGGGGACAGGGGCCTGACATGCCAACATTGAGAAGCTGTGGAACACACAGAGCTACCCTCTCTAGGTCAAATCCAGACCTGGCAAGCAGTGGCCCACATCTTTAGGACATTTTAACACCACCTTTAATACTATGAGTGTGCTAAACGCAGTTTGTATCCCTTCTGCCAGTGTATGGAAGCCTCATCCCTTGGGCTCTCTTGTGAAACCGTTCCCTTTCATGCACTATTATTTTCAGTTTGAAACTCAAGATAAAATAAATCGTATTATAGTTCAATGACCCACCTATTCCTAATGTTTAAAAATCTTTCTTCTGCTATAAATGCACACATACATACATGATTTATCCTTGCTTCTACCCACATTTTATCCCATCAGGGCTGAGTCTTCCTCTCATCCAAGGGTTTGCAACGTTTAAGAAACTCAACCAGAATTGAAGCGATAGTTCCCTGTCTGGGACCCTGGTGTTTCTGCCATTTGAATTCCAAGTTCTTTCAACAGCTGATGAGCAGCTGTCCCAAGGACCTCCTGATATTGCACAAGTTTCCTCCTGGTGCCAACAGACCAGCCTGAGAAACAGCTGGAAAGGAGGAAGCCTGTGTCTTCCCCCAGCACCTCATTCCTTCCTCCCAGGCCCTGCCCTCCCCACAGTGCCGTCCCCCCACTCCCGGCAGAGCTCACAGACCTCCAGTCTGGTCTGCCAGCCCCCACACCTGGGGCTGCACGGGGCCACTCCTGCTGCCCATTTCCTCTGCCACAGATTCCCTGGCTCTATGTCTCCTTGATTCATAAACCCTCTTTTCAAGCAGATAGCCTAGTGAAGAATAAACCAATAAGGACTCATTCCACCCAAGTAGCAATTCTAATTTAAGAAAGGATTTCCCAGTTATTCCATTGCCTCCTGCACCCCTCACTACATTCAGTCCCGTACTTCTCTCCCTAAATGCCTTTGACCACCCTGTTCCCTCCTTTCCTTTCCCTATTGCAGTGATGGCGAACCTTTTGAGCTCGGCATGTCAGCATTTTGAAAAACCCTAACTTAACTCTGGTGCGGTGTCACATATAAAAAATTTTTTATATTTGCAACCATAGTAAAACAAAGACTTATATTTTTGATATTTATTTTCTATATTTAAATGCCATTTAACAAAGAAAAATCAACCAAAAAAATGAGTTCGCGTGTCACCTCTGACACACGTGTCATAGGTTCACCATCACTGCCCTATTGCCATCTATTAAACTTTACCCATCCTTCAAGGTTTCTAAGAAACACCACCTCCACCTTGAAGCCTTCTGTGAACAACCAGGGCAATCATTCCCTCTTCTGAACTCTTAGGGAGCCTAATGAGCACTTACTCACACTCCTTTATAATACAGTTTTTAATCATACCCCTGAGGCAAGAGTAACTCCTTAGACACACATGACTCTCCCATATGCCCAGCACAATGTTCTGTATATAATCAACACTTATTAAATATCAATGGAATGAATGCAGGAGACCAAAAAAGTACTGAGATGGTCATTTCTAGTTCTTTCTCCAACCTAAAGGTAGGGACTGAATCTTATGAATTATCACGTCCGCACAGTGCTATATGGTGCTTGCCTAGTAGGACCCCAAAGATGGCTTGCTGGGGTCAGTCAGTCAGACAGACAGATGGGACTTGGGAGAGCGGTGTTGCATCCTGTCACATGTTTGCACTATTCCCGCTGCGGGAGGCGAGTCGGAGCGGTCCTTTGATTGCTCTGCATTTTTGTTCAGGTCCCCATGGCAGCAGACCAGGGAATTTCCTTTCCCAAAACTCTGACTTTTGTCTGCAGTGAACTTCCTGGCATCTCTTTTCCATTCAATGCAGTCATCTGGGTAAAGGGCGCTCTCTGCAGAGTGGGGCAGAGATGAATAACTCCGTGGTGGAATGCAAATGTGAAGACCCAGCTTCCTTATTAACTCAGTGTTCTCCGAGTGTCCCTCTGTCCTTCGTGCTTTGTTCTGTTGTTCGTTTGTTTGTTTTCATCTGATCCAAGGTCTAGGAAAAGAGGAACTTGCTTGTGGAGAAACCAAAAAAAAAAGGAACTCATAAGCAAATATGTTGATTCCATTCAGCCCATGTTTGTTTCCCCCTTTTTTTTTCTATATTCTGTCATTAAATGTCAATTTCTAGTTACAAAATGGAAAAGAAAAATGCTTTTCTGGGTTTGGAGAGACTTTTAGATTTCTGGGTTCATGCCTTCTGTCTTTTTCCGGGGTAGGGGAGAAGACGCTAGGATTTCATGTTCTCTGCATATCACTGGAATGTCTTGCATGTTTGAAATGTTCTCATGGCTCTTCATATAATTAAGGGGGAAAAATCAGAAGTATGAGAAGGAGTTTAAGGCATCAGGAAAACTCTCCCAAGCATAGGACGTCCATGGGGAGGTAGACATGGGACACAGTGGTCTAGAGAAGGGTGGTAACCGATTTTCTACCTCAAGGTCACCTGCACCTGAGTGTTACTCAGCCTGGAGAATGCCATCCACATGCCCTGGTTCCTTCCACCAGGAGTTGGAGAAACACCCAGGATTAAGGACTCGCAGTTCTGTGGGAATCTCTACAGTTTGCCAGTTAGTTGACTGTCCATTGTGTTTTAATGAAGGACATTTTTCAACCTCCCTTAGCCTCAGAACCCTCCTTTGTAGAGTGAGGATAATAAACCACCTACCAATGGATCACTTGGCTTAGGAGCTGGCACGTCACATGCAGTCAGTGAGTAGGTGTTCTTACTATTGGCAGAAGTACCAAACGGCCCCTGATCCTCCTGCAGACCCTGACGATGCCTACAACTGTGATACATGTTGGAAATGGTGTCACTAAAGTACTTGCTCATAAATATTTGTGTTCCCGCTCATTGAATCTGATTGTCAGGCACCTTGCTTTGACTTGAGCTATAGCATGGTTTTAGAACAATTCATCCTTTTTTACCTTCCATTTCAGGAACACTCAAGAATGGACTCAAGAATGGAAAGAATGCCCTGATTACGTCTCTGCGGGAGAAAACAGCTGTTACTTTAACGCATCGTATACCTCCATCTGGGTGCCCTACTGCATCAAGCTCACTAACAATGGTGGTACTGTGGATCAAAAGTGCTTCTCTGTCGAGGAAATAGGTAAATCACAGGTTTGTGTTTCATTTGACATGGCTTTAGATTAAGTAAACGGGGAGGTCTACAACGTTCAAGTGTATTTGTGTAGGAAGACCTTGTCCCTGTGCTCGACAGGTGGATGGAGGTCTACTTGTCCGGCACGAGATCAGCTGCTGAACAAGAAGGAAAGGGCAGGGGGACTTAAGTTGGCTCTAATGTAAGAGAATCTGGCAGCAAATGTTGAAAAGGAAAGAGTGGGAGCCTTGTGGAGTCTTCCTTGAGGAGGTGTTTAAGCTGGATTGTATTGTGTGCCACTGCGGGGGGCAAACTCAATGTACTCTTAAGATTCCTTCTCTCTTAATCATTCAATATGATTATTATATATCTGCTGATGTAGCTTGGCCTTCATCTCTTCCATTGCTCTAATAAGTGCCTAGATTTTCTTTTAACACAAAGCACAGTAACTCGTGGGGGTTTACATTTACAAAACAGCCCAAATCCGTGTAAAGGCATGTTTATAAGATCTCCAGACAAACATTGGAGATAATCAGCGCAGTGAACTAAGCTGCAGACAGACTACCCCTTGCCCATCATGTGGACACAGGGGAAATGCAACAAAAGAACACAAGCAGCTATAATTGGGATGTTTAAACTATAGTAGTATAAACAGCTAAGTGGAAAAAAATCAAAGAAGGACTTTGAGTAGCTGACATCGGTGCCTCAAATCTACCCACAAAAGCTCATTTGTTGCGCATAGGAATTCCTTGGCGCTTCTCTCGGATGGGCTGTTCTTGTCTGGTTTCCCAGGCATCAGCAAATGGAAAGAGACAGAGAGAAAGTGGCTAGAAGCTGCAGAGAAAAACAAGTAGATCTGCTAGCCTAACTTTGAAAGAGAAAATTAAGAAAACTTAAGCAGAAAAGAGAACCTAACTGCATAGGTTAGAGAGACTACTGAGTATATGTCCTAACACGCATACGTGTAGCTATTGAGTGGCTAAGTGGGTAGTACTAAGAATACTGGGTCAAGACCCATGTCCTGACCCTGTGTCTGCCCTTTGCCAGTCCCACTCTTGTACCTGGCTGAGTCACTGAGTGCCAGCCATGAGCTGGGCACTGATTGGGCACTGTGCCCAGGTGTGACGGCTATAGAATAAATAACATACAGTCAAGTCAGAGAGTCAGGCATGTTGGCAAATAATTGCGATAAATAATAAGTAAGTGCCATAGTGGGTGCTGGACTCCAGGTGTGTGGGACACATAGTCAGCCAAGGTGGGAGCCGGAGGTGCGACAGATTGACTGAGGAAGGGCTGCCCCGAGATGGTGACAGTTCGCTTGCTCCTTAAAGCATGTGTGGGGGTTGCCAGGTGTACAAGATGGACTGTGTCTTCCAACAACTACTACATTCCAAAAGTGACAAATAGCACAGAAATTTCAAAGACTCCGGAGCAGTTAGGCAGGCCCGACTGGTCAGCCACAGAAATCAGCAGTGATGCCCCACAAAGGAATTTGGACTTTATCTTTCTGGCAAGGGGCACATTTGAGGATGTTTAAGCAGGGACATGACCTAAGGATAGTAATAGCTAACACTTCCAAAGCGTTTATCACGATTCAGATCTAATAACCATGGGAGATAGGTTCTTATCATCCCCATTTTACAGATGATGAAACGGAGGCTCAGAGCATTAAATGCCCAGCCCCGGGTCAGTTTGGAGACGTGTGCAGTCTCAGGTGCCTTTTAAACATCTCAGAGGAGTTGGCAGGTATGGCACATGGAAGTATAGAGGTCAGGAGAGGTCGCCGTGCCTTCTCAACAGGGCCCGTTCATCTTCTATTTGAAGTAGGGAAATTTTAAAGATGTCACATGAGTAATATGTTTTAGAAAATCTCCCATGAAAAACATTTTTTATAGTTCAGTCACTTATAAGGTTAAGCTTTGGTTATCAGAACATCAGGCCCCAACAAATCCAGAAAAGAAGGTATTACTGTCAGTATGTGGCATATGTAGCTTAGCTGTTTTGCAAATTACTCTAATTTAATTTCCCAAATGTAGTTATGATTAGTCAAATTTGGACTTTCTCTGTTTTTTTTTAAGTGGTGCTCACTCCACAGTGGCCAATAGCAACCTCCCTCACAGAGAATGTTTTGGCTTTGGTTGAAAGAGGAGTTCCCCTCTTTAGCCACCAAATTTTAACAGCCAGTAAGAGCTTCTCACAGGGTATATTTGTAGGCCTATCTCTAATCAACCCTGGGAACCCAGATGTTGCCACATTCCAGGTGACCTCCATATAATAGAAAAGAAAGTACATTTGCCCTAGCCTGTTTGGCTCAGTGGATAGAGCATAGGCCTATAAGACTGAAGGGTCCCAGGTTCGATTCTGGCCAAGGGCACATACCTGGGTTGCAGGCTCGATCCCCAGTAGGGGGTGTGCAGGAGGCAGCCAATCAATGATTCTCTCTCATCATTGATGTTTCTCTCTCTCTCCCTCTTCCTCTCTGAAATCAATAAAAGAAATATTTTTTAAAAAAAAGAAAAAGAAAGTAAATTTTACTCCATGTCTAGTACTGAGACCCAAATAGCAACAATTTATCGGGGACTATCTAAACAGGGGTGGGGAACATCTGGCTTGAGGGCCTTATAAGGTCCTCGAAATCATTTGGTCTGGCCCTGCCACAGCAGTAGGAGTGAGTTAATTAAATGTTTGGCCAAATATAGCAGGCTAATTTTTAAGTTGATAATTTTGTATGGCCCACGAATGATGTTATAAATATCCAAATGGCCCTTGGCAGAAAAAAGGTTCCCCACCCCTGATCTAGAATGTACATTTTGATAGAGTTCCTGGCTTTAGAGTCCATCTTTCTCTTCATCGACCTTTGGGAAATTGTGGTCTTTGTGGTGCTAATAGGCAAAATGCAGCAGATCTACCCGAGAATGTGCAGTTGGTAGAAACCAAGCAAAACACTGTTGCCAGTTGTTCACATGGGTTGAGTGGAGGAAAACAGGGCAGCGTCACCATCTGAGAGAGCCGTGCAGTGCCTCCCTCCTTAGGTCTGGGGAAATGATCGCATGTGGCTGGGAAGACCAGCCAAGGAGCACTGGCTGAGTGTTGGGAAGGACTGTGCTGGTAGCAGCACAGAAGTGAGTGAAGCAAGGCCCTTGCCCCAGGTCATGAACAGTTTGAAAGAAAAAAAGTCTCCTCTACCCTGAGTTCCTAATACAGCCACGTGTTTAAATGCCGTAGGTCTTTCTGACTCTATTCCTTAGTTAGAATGAATCCCTTTGCCAAATCCCAAAGCATTAATTCTATCGGAGCTCAAAGAAATGCAAAACCCAGACGATCTTTAAGAAAAGTTATAGTTCAGACTTTAAACTCGAAAAGGACTTTTATATGGGATTTTTAGAGTTACACACAGATCACCCTTAAGGAAAAAAATGGTGCTCTCTAGTAAAGTGAGAATAGACTGATAAGACTATTATAAGAATTGAGAGTATGAATAATGAAATGTATAAAGTAACGTGGTCTCTTCAGAAGAAAGCATTCCGTCACTCCCCAGCTGTGTACTAACCCTCCATTGAAACGCACAGTACAACCGGATCCACCCACCGGCCTCAACTGGACTTTGCTGAACACCAGCCTGACGGGGATTCACGCGGACATCCAGGTGAGATGGGAGCCACCGTCCAACGCAGATGTTCAGAAAGGCTGGATCGTCCTGGAGTACGAGCTGCAATACAAAGAGATAAACGAGACCCAGTGGAAAATGGTAAGATATCACTACCAATCACACTGGAAACCTTTTGAATTGTCTTCCTTTTATTCAACACCCCCTCTCATGGGTATATGTCCTTGTGACCTAGTACCATATGGCCATGCTATATGCTGCATCATTTCTTATTGGAGGAAAATAATCAGAAAAGTATCATCTCGAGGTCCTGTCCAACAGCATGGAGCTTCTATGGAAGCCTCTGGAAGGAAAAGGATACTATGTCCCCAGTCTTCCTTGCTGTCCAGTTTAACTTTAGAACAAACTTGTATACTCTAGCCACTTAGCTGTCTTTGGGGATGTGGCTAAACATGGGAAGGGTCATGATCAAGGTCAACAGTGAGCTACGGCTAAATATTCTCCCATGATGTTAGTTGCTACTCCTCACAAGAGCTTTGTTAAAATAAATTCTTGAGTGACTCCAGGAGGCAAACGGAGGGAGGGAATGTGCCCTTTAGAGGCTTCAGAAGGATATTTGGTTAAATACCTCAGGGGACAATCAAGCTAAGAGGTTTTTAAGTCTGCAAGGAGCATGGTACTGGTTGACCTCTGAACTCCTCACTTCCTTGCCAAGCGTGTGGGAACCGGGCACTTAGATAAATTCCGCATGGCACACAGCACGAAGAAAAACAGGATTATCATGCTGCTCCCAATATAACTAATTCTAAATCAGTCTGACCACAGCCACAGCCCCAGCCAAGTCCAGTGGTTTCTGGCCGGGCATCAGTCATGCCCAGCGGCTGGCACAGCCTCGCCGCCGACTCCTCAGACACCGGGCCCTGTCCATTCAGTGAGCTGCTGAAGAAGCGGCTGATTTTGTCACCGGAGGAAAGCTAAATTTGGAGCAGCTTTGCACAGTTAAATATTGGGCTTTGAGGTTCTGTTTTCGGCATCGTTTTAATTTAGATATCCATTCTGTGACCTGGTGTAAAAAAAGCCTGGTTGGATGCTGAGTCAAACGAGACTTTCTAAATCCAAGCTCGTCAAACATGTAGCCAGCCACCAGGGAGTGAAATAACCACTGTACTCAGGTACCCCAGGGCAGCTGATCTCAAAGCAGGAACTGTAGACCCCTGAGGGTCCCTGAGACCCTTTCAGCGAGTCCACAAGGTCAAGACTGTTTTCATAATAATGCTAAAATGTTATTTCTTTTTTTCACTGTGGTGAGATTTGCCCTGATGGTACAAAAGCAGTGGTGGGGAAACTGAGGCCGCCTTAGCACAGAGCATGGCAGTAATACCGACTCGTACTGCTGATCACGGGGCACTCACAGGGAAGGGAGGGAGGGCGTCAGTTGCACACAAGAGCGCCCTTGATGCAGCTTTGAAAATTTTCAGTTTTGTTCCAGCCCGACCTTTGAGGACACAGCTTTTTAATATTCTGTGTGCCACATGGAAGTCCAGGTAAAGCGCTTTTGCTGCCTACGCGGTGCTGATGGTTGTCTTGAGAAAAAGCACTTACCCAGCGGGGCTGCCAGTGGAACTCGCTGCTTCTGTAGGGAACCCGGTTGGGAGCACCAGTGTTACCTGGAAGAACCACTGGTAGACTGATAGATTTGAGTTAGCAAATATTTGGCAAACGTTTCTTGAAAAAAAATGAAGTAAGCTCATCACTTCAAGAAAAACCATTGACGGTATTTGTTGCCGATGAAAAATCCGAGCTTACAAGGGAAAATCGGAATTTTGGAAAACCTTCTTGTACAGCCATGAACTTGTTAACTTCCTATCTTTGAAGACACTCCTGATGAGATGAATGATGATACCATTAGCAAAAGTGATTTTTTATATTGCATAATAAAATATGTGTACATTTAGAAAATCTGCATAACTCAGGAAACCGATCTTTTCCAAGTGATCAGTACGTGATGTAATGAAAATCACGCATGGGGAAATGGTCCATTCAGAGTGTCAGAGGGAATGGTGGATGCTAACAGAAAAGCGTACAGAAGATTCACTGATACGGTTTCCAATTCCACACTGTAGCTAACCTCTAAGAAAATACCACTTGCTGAGTTTGGCTGTTGGTGTTAAAGAGTATCCACAATTATCTGAAAAGCCTATCAAAATACCCTTCCTTTTCCTCAATTTTGTTCATGCATGTCAACCAAAACAACACATCCTAACAGGTTTAGTTAGGAGCAGATGTAAAAATTCAGCCATCTTCTACCAAACAGATTTGCAAAAATGTAAAACAATGGCATTCTTTTCACTATAATCTTATCGTTTGGGAAAGTACAATAATTTTTATAAAAATATATTATGTTACCATTAAATCAATTTATTGTTTTAATTTTTAAATTAGCACATTTTAATTTTTCAGTTTTCATTTCTAATATGGTAAATAATGATAGTATAACCCAAATCAACCAAATCTTTACGATTCACAATAACTTTTAAGAGTGTCAAAGAATCCTGAGACTAAAAAGCTTGGCAAGCTAGAAAAAGCAGGGATGTATTTCAGAACATTAGAATTCATTCATTTTCTAATCATAGTTTCAAGCCTGAAAGACCCGGGCATGTAGTCATGTCTAAGCTACAAGTAGGTAGCTTGCATCCTGAGCTATGAGCTAGGTGCATGGGAGCCTGGGACTCAGTCAAGTGATGCTCAGAGCTGCCTCCCAACAAGGCCTCATCACACTCTTCATTGGACCCTGCTAAACGTCACATTAGATAGTTCCAAGGGGTCCATTAATGTTTACTTACCTTTTATGAGTAAAGTTACATATTCATAGTATTTGTAAGGTTGGTCATTTGCAAGGGTCTCAACTAAAGTGGTCGTGAATATCAAGGGCCTCTTCATAAGAATCGCCCTCTCTCTGGAAGAAACTCGCAGTCAAATGGGTTATGAGCACGAATGCCATAAGCGTAATAAGAGGGGAGATTTGGAAGTAGAAGGGAAAAAGGCTAGTGTTTGTTGCTTATATCGGGAATCCATGTTACCACTTGGCAATGTTGAATTTGGTATTGTATCTTTTTTTAAATTAAATGCACTTTTAATATAAAAGTAATACTAATGACCATGTAGTTACTTACACTATTTACCTGCTAGATAAGTTAATAATTGATGGTTTTCTTTCAGGGCTTAACGAGTGGCATAGAATTATCTATAGCGTATGAGCCATCTCTTGCTCACCCACTGTATACCTAAAGATAATGAAGGCGTAGTTTGTCCCCAGAGAATTTGCAGTCTAATATAGAAATCTGAGCAGGAAAACTCCAGAAGTAATATATGATGTGTATTATCTGGCAGGATGGTAGGGAAGGTGCCAGGAAAAACTCCTTAGAATTTCAGCAATGCTTACACTTAGGCTTGGCCAGAATGGGCGTTCCCTCGCAGGCAGGTGGCGGAGTTCCATGTGGCGGTGGGAGCTGTGTGAGCAGGTGGGATGTGAGCAGATGGAGTGTGGTGTGGTGGGTGTGGAGGGCTGAGAGAGGACGGAGAGGGGGCCATGGGTCCAATGAGAGCCCCTGTCTGCTTTTGTTATTAGTAAAATCTGTAAAGAAATAACATTGGTGACAATAGCAGAGAAATTAGGGTGTTAAGAATGGAAACATAGGCTTTGAAAATAGTTCAAGAAAAATAATAAGTTTAATACGCAGAATTCCACCTTTAAAAAGCCTTTTAGGCATGCAACATTCCATACATTGAGAAGCATCTTTACACAGTGCAAAATTACCGTCCCATGTACACAGGGGAACACATAAGAGATACTTTGTGAGTAGCAACTAACTGAGGTGAAAGGAGAATTTGTTTTAGAAGCTGAAGGTCCAGCTTCTGACTTAGCAAAACAAATTAGGAGAATATTTATGTGAAAGATCTATGCTGTTGAAAAGATGAGTGTTCCTAGCCTTTTATAAACAGGAACGGCGTGTTCTACCAGGAAATATACAAAAAGCACATACTGGATACTTAGTCGGAATGTTTGCCTTAGAGAAGAACACCCTCACTAACTGGGTCTGCTTCTTTGATAGTGACATGTTTTAAACCTGTAACAGCCTCACCTGCCCTTCTCTGGAAGGTAAAAGAACATCCTGGCCTTAAGGCTTATGGGACCCTGGTGTTAATTACCAAGCACTCCTGTGACTTTTCTTTGCAGATTTTGAATAGCACACTATTTGGGAGTGGCTTTGAACCTTCTAGAACACTCAGATTATGTATGTAATTGCTTTTACTAGAATTATTTGAAAATTCAATTAAGCCTTAGCCAGTTTGGCTCAATGGATAGATCATTGGCCTGTTGACTGAAGGGTTCTGGGTTCGATTCTGGTCAAGGGCATGTACTTTGGTTGCAGGCTCCATCCCTAGCCCTAGTTGGGGAGCATACAGGAGGCAACCAATCAATGATGTGTCTCTCTCACACTGATGTATCTCTGTGTGTGTGTGTGTGTGTGTGTGTGTGTGTGTCTCCTCCTCTCTTCCACTCTCTCTGAAATCAATGGGAAAATATCCTTGGGTGAGGATTAACCAAAAAAAAGAAAGTTCAATTAAGACAACCATAATTTTCCTAGGACTCCTTCCAATTCTTTGATCATATGAACAACTACCCAGAATTTCCAAAGGATGACTATGATTTGTTTTTCTATTCTTATGTTTTCATACAAAACTATGATATCACAACGGGTAGGCAAACATACCTGTAGTCTTCTTTATAGTTCTGTCATTTTTTTTTTAAATATATTTTATTGATTTTTTACAGAGAGGAAGGGAGAGAGATAGAGAGTTAGAAACATCGATGAGAGAGAAACATCGATCAGCTGCCTCCTGCACATCTCCTACTGGGGATGTGCCCGCAACCCAGGTACATGCCCTTGACCGGAATCGAACCTGGGACCTTTCAGTCCGCAGGCCGACGCTCTATCCACTGAGCCAAACCGGTTTCAGCATAGTTCTGTCATTTTTCCATAAAAATTTTATTATGCTTTGATGTTAGGATATTTGACAGCCTGGTCTACATAAGTCTATCAAATCTCTGGGTCTATACCAAAATAAGTTTGAGGCCT